CTTACTTTTTCATATACACTCCCGCTCTTTGGTATTTTGAAAATTATTTTAGCATCAAACAGTCTTTTCTTGTTCTCCCTATCAGAAAATAGGGAGAACAAGAGTATGTGCATATTCAAAATTCATATAATAATAATTTAGATTATTTCTAGTAGGTGACAGAGCCTTTTTGAAAAATGTCCCTATCAATGCTTGAAATTGAAACTTAGGAAACCAGTGAAAAACTTGTATCTGCTTAACTAGTAAATAGGGTCAAGGGCACAAACCTGGCCACTGACCTGTAATTTATTATTATACATGATTTCTCACCAAAAAACCACTCACTAAAGTCAATGCAGAGCTTGGGGAATTTAAGAAAGATGTTTCCTGATGCAGAGTGTGGGTAATGGAGCTTAGTTTTCCATTCCAGTTGTGCTTTGGGACAGTAAATGGCCACTAGCTCAAAGATATTTATATTTGTGGCTGGAGCCTATGCCTCAAGAGGACCAGAATACTTATTTAAAATGTAGGAATGGCATCCTGTCACATGCTTGGGCACCTTCCAGCTATTGGTACCAGCTTAACAATTAAAAAAAAAAATCATTGGGAGCATTTATCCAAGGCTCCTTTGGCTGCCACATGAAGAACACACACTAATGCTGAGTGAAATGCTACTCTAACCCCTTTGGGAGGGGGATAGCTTTTGTAGTTCATTCATAGCACACAACATTTTGAAATTCACTGATAAAACTGTAATACCACACCCCACAATACACATAATTCTATCATATAATTAAATATTTGGAGAGTGCCATGACTCAGCACACTGCTGTAGAGATTTTTAAATGAATGTGGACCTCTGCTCCAACAGAGTTTCCAGTGGAGTCCTGGATCTACAGATGTATAATAGTTTCCTGAGTCATCCATGGAGCGTCTTCTTCTGTGGCAGGTATGGAAGAAGAGAGAGAGAGGAGATACACACATAAAAACAAATGATAAATGAAATGCTACTGAAGAGTGCATGGGTGGTCTTAGGGCATTAGTAACAGAATATGCCTTTTTTGTGTCTGTGTGGTTGCTTGGAATCCAGTTGAGTTCAGCACCTGTGTAGTATCTTGCTCTCAATGGCAGAGTTATGGTTTATATAGCACGAGTCTGGGAAGGTCTGCAACAAGTTTAGGACTTTTGCAAGGGATTGCAGGGCTCCTTGAGTGAGAGTTACTCCTGCTGAGTTGCATTTGAAGTCAGGGACAGGTGTAGCTGAAGTGGCAGGGAGTCTCACCTGTGCTATCCATGGTGGCTTTTAAGACTGATGCCAGTCTTCTAAAGCCCAGGGGAGACCTTATCACTCTCTACAACTGCTTGAAAAGACACTGTAGGGAGGTGGTGGTCAGTCTTTTCTCTGAGGTATCAAGCAATAAGACCAGAAAAATAGAATCAAGTTTCACCATGGGAGGATAAGGTCGGATATTACAAAAAATTTCTTTTCCCAAAGGGTTGTTTAGCCCTGGCACAGGCTGCCCAAGGCAGTGTTGGAATCCCAATGAAGGGATTTAAAAGCTGTGTGGATGTGGCACTTGGGGACATGGGTTAGTGGTGGGCTTGGCAGTGCTGGGGGAATACTTGAACTTGGTGGTCTTGTAGGGCTTTTCCAACCTAAACTATTCTGTGTCCCAGCTCCATAGACAGTTTGTAAATCCTGCATGGACTTGCTGGTAGATTTGGAGAGGTCTTCACATTTTGGAGGTTACCTGGTGCAACAAATGGCAACAAAGCCTTATTTTCCAGTTCAGTTATCTTTCTGACATGATAATGAATTTCTTTCAGCACCCCAAACATATTTCTAAAGATTAGCAAGAAGATGATTTTCCGAACATTTAAGTCTAATAACTAGGTCAGTTAAGAAATGCAAGCCTGAAAATCTCATCCAGCTGCCTCTCTTTCTGTTAATGGGTGGATACAGCCACACTCTGTAAAATCTTTCTTTGTAGACTGCAAAGCCAAAGTGGTTTGTTTGCTCAATACCCACTTGCTTCCCTGGGGCTTAAATGCCAATGGAAAGCCCCAACTCTGGTTTGTTAATTGTCACATTTGTTAGACCAGTTCTGTTTTAGGAAAATCCCATTAAAAATTAATCATTGTCTCTTGCTGATGTAAATGGCAATAGCTTTGACCCACAGAAGCAGTAGGACTCCTGTTAAAGACTTTTAATGACTGTTAAACTTTTAGATTTAGATTACTGGTTGAGCACCCAGGAACAGTAAAAATAAACCCTCACATGCACACCATGGCAGCTCCCAACCTCCCAGGTGCCCCAAAAGCAGCCATGCTTTGCCACCAGAGGATGAGGAGCAGGAGACAAAAAACTGCAACAATTCAACCATGAACTTCCCTGATTCATCAAAGCACTTAGAACACAACATGTCACATAAAAAGTATTTAAATATGTGCTGAAATAGTTTGGCGTATCAAGCCTGAGGGCTTGACTGTGCACAAAATTTCTCAGATTAAAGGTTTGGAGTGGTTTTAAACTTCCCAAGGCTCTACCTGAATAACTGCCCATATGCCTGTGGATAGCACAGAGCATATTTATCCTATATCCTTCATGTATATACTATAGCCTTCTGGTTTCTCACTCTTTGTCCCACTTTTTCACTTGTATCTCCTATGCCCTTCTGTCGTGATGAGCACATGGACAAGTAGCTCCCATGGACCCTGCAACAAGTAGATACTTGTACTCCAGTGCCATTTTTTCCATAATTCCTCTGTATGTCAGACATGGTATAGTGGTGGCCCTGCCAGTGCTGGACTCAATGACCTTACATTGATTTTCTAACCTTAATTATTCCATGATTCTGAGCCTTAACAAACTGTTAGCACTAAGAAAACCACACAGATTGGAACCATTTCCTTCTTTCCATATTCCTACTTGTCTTAGGTTGCAAGAGGTGGCTGGGGGTGTGTACTCTATTGCCATCTGTTAGAGGTGGGGCAGTTATCTTCTGTTAATTGGGCAGTTTTCTTTATCTCTTCCACAACCTATCCTCCCTCTGGGAAATATCTGCTGTTAACGGGCCATTGAGTGTCACTGCATGACTGATAAAATTACAGCATCCCATTGTGAGATGCTCTGTCTAGGGGGAGGAGCCAAGCATTCCTACCTGGATATAATCTGAGATCTGGAACACCACAAGCAGACTTTTCCCACTGGATTCCCAGAGGAAGACCAGGCCCATCTATACCACGACTCGTTTTCCAGAGGAAGACTACACCCTTCGACAGCATCATTGCTCCAACAGAACCACATCTGCCACTCCAGTAGGACTGCAGCCACCATTCCAATTGGACTGCTCCCAACACCCTGACCAACAAGGGGTCAAGTCATGTTCTGACTCTGTCAGTGTTGTTTTGTTTTACTGCATTCTTATTTTTATCTTTATGTGTTTTTATTCCTAGTAAGGAACTGTTATTCCTACTCCTACTTTGCCTGAGAGCCCCCTTAATTTCAAAATTATAATAATTCAGAGGGAGGGGGTTTGCATTTTCATTTCAAGGGAGGCTCCTGCCTTCCTTAGCAAACACCTGTCTTTTCAAACCAAGATACTACTCCACACCATCACCTCTCAGCACCTATTAAGTTACCTCTCAGCACCAATATTAAGACCATGGAGATCCTATGGAAGGACTCATCTAGCTGTGTTTGCACAGTTCTGAGCACAGCAGGTGCCTACTGCATAATCATGAGTATTACAACTGCCACAACAGACTACTTCTACACATATTGACTAATAACAACTGCATTTTCCCTATTGCCCTTTAAAGATTAAGGTAATTTGGAAAAAGACTATTTATGCAGAAATCAGAGCATTTGCATAGCAATCCAGACTGCAATAGATATACCAGGTAATTTCCCCATGTAAATAAGTCCTCCCTGGAGAACACTGACAAAACCTTCTCCTTAGAGGTACACATTTTTGGATGTCAGTGGGATGGGAGAAGGGCCAGGGAAATGGAAGTTTGGAGCAGTTTGAGTATTTCTGGGCAACTGTCACACAAAGAAAAATGGACATACCGAGCAAAGCTGCTGGCAAAACCTGGTATTAAACAAATAATACAATGGCTTTGGGAATTTGGGATTGTGTACACAGGGCTCTTTGCAGTTCACACAAGACTTGTGTCTATGTATGCAATCAGCAAAGGGACAGAGATACAAAAAAATTATATAAGTAGCTGTCCTGAAAATAGACCATAAGGAAACTGTTCTGAGTGTCTTGATCCAAGGACTAAAGCATTTATTCTCTTCTTTCCTTTCACCTGAAACCCACAATTAAACCAAATGAAAAAAAATGCACAAGTACTTTTGCAACCAGCATTCGTTTTTTCAGAGCCCATAGCTGACAGATGTCTTAAATTCAGACTCATGAGGCCTTAAGTTCAGAAGCCAGTTGTGCTTTTCTTTCTTACAGGGTTTTTATCTTAAGGATTTTCTTATTTTGTTTTTCCAATTTTCCTTTTATCTTCCTTATTTTTCCTTTTTTTTTTTCTTTGCTCATTTGTCCTTTTTGCTGTTGTTTTCTTTTTTTTAAAATTTTTTTTCTTTTCCTTTTTATTAACCTCTTTTTTATTTTTCTTTTTTCTTTTATTTGTTTGATGTTCTCTTCTCCTTTTCTTTCCTCCCCATTCCCTTTTCGATTTCTTTTTTTTCTATTTTCTTTTAACTTTTAAATTTTATTTTTCTTTTCCTTTCATGTTTTTCTTTCTCTTTTTCCTTTTTATTTTTTTCCTCTTTTCTTGTATACCTTTGGTTTTTCCTTTCCCCTTCTTTTTTCTACTATCTTTCATCCTTCCCTTCCCTTCCCTTCCCTTCCCTTCCCTTCCCTTCCCTTCCCTCTCCTTTCCATTCCTTTCATCTCCTTTCCTTTCATCTCCTTCTCCTTCTCCTTCTCCTTCTCCTTCTCCTTCTCCTTCTCCTTCTCCTTCTCCTTCTCCTCTCCTTCTCCTTCTCCTTCTTTCTCCTTCTCCATTTTCCTTCCTCTTTCTCTTTCGTTAGCAGGCAATCACTAAGCCTCCAACTGGAAAGGAGTTGAAGGCAAGAACTGACCTGAAAGCAAAAACCAGACCTCAACATCTCTTTCTGCCGATTACAGACAGATCAGAAAAGAGGCTGTGGAACCCGCGGGCTGACAGCAGGACGTGCTGAGGCTCGACCTGAGCTGGGACTACCCGGGCAGTCCCCTACCCGCGCAGAGGAGCCAGATCTCCCTGGCAGCGCGCGGTAAGTGTCCCCCTGTCCTTTTCCGGGGCAGCGCTCACTCAGCTCCGAGCGCCGAGCACCCCCGGGAGCGCTCGCCTTCCCGCGGAAACACCGACTCGCTGTTTTTGTCGCTAATCATTGTTAATCATTAACCGCTCATTAGAAGGACACCGCTGAGTCCCGCCGGGTCCCGCCACCCCCGGGGGCCGCGGCCAGCCGCCTCCCCCCGGCGCGGCCCCGCTGCCGAGGGCTGTGCCGGGATGGGGAGCGGGAGGGGATGCACGGAGCCCCGCGGGGCCCGGGCCTGCCCGCGGGGGCATCCGCGGGCCGCGGAGCCTTTTGTTATGCTAATCCGAGCTGACATCACTCCGCATATCAAAGCAGAGGGGGCTGCATATAAGGCGGCTCCGGGGGCCTCCCCGCCAGAGCGGCCTCGGTCCCCGCGCAGCCCGGCCCGGGCGGAGGTAAGCGGGGACCGCAGCGGTGTGCGAGCCACTGTCGGGAGAGGTGGGAAGGGGACAGCGGCTCGGTGGAGCCCCTCGAAATGCCGAAGGTGCGGGGCTGGCCAAGAACTGGGGTTTGCGAGGCATGGACAGAATTCCAAGGAGAGGGGATGCATCCCGGAGGATGGATGGGAGTAGGGAGACGCTGGGGGGTTCGACGGAGAGAGGATTCTTAGAGGCTGCAAAGCAGACCGAGGAGATGCCAGAGAGGCGGCTTGGAGACTACAAGGAAGAAGGGAAACCCGGAGGATTGCAAGGAAAAGGGAGACCCACAGGATGCATGGGGCAGGGAGAACCGAGGGAATGCGAGAGAAAGGGGATGCTTGGAGACTGCAAGGGAGAGGGGATACCCGGGGGAAAACAAGGAAGGAGGAGACTCGGAGGCTGAATTAAGAGACCTGACACCCGGCATGGGGAAGTGTGAGTGCAGGAGCAGGGGAGGACCTGGGAGAGAGGGAGACCCAGAGGGTGGAGAGACCCGTGCCTGATGAGCTGCAGGGGAGAGCAGACGCCCAAGAGTTGGAAGGGAGACTGGAGACCCAGGGGCTGATGGCAGAGGAGGGATATGGAGCTGCAAATGTGCAGGGCAATGCAAGGAGCTGCAGAGGAGAGAGGAGTCCGGGAGGCTGCAGGGTAGTGGGGACACCCAGGAGCTGCAGGGAAGAAGGAAGGTCCAGAAGGCAGCAAGGGAGTGGTGAGACCCGGCAGCTGGAATCAGCTCCACCACCCTCTCTTCCTTTTCTCTTCTCCCACTCCTCACTGCAGGTCATCTGGGGATGTGCTACCCCTAAACCAGGCTACTGTGTTTTTGGAGAGAGTTGCAGGCTGGCAGCAGAGTCAGGTGGATGTCTTTGTTTCCTGGATTGGAAAACTGGAAAAATGTGAGCTGAATACTCACACTTCTATGTACAGTTAAAATCGCCTTTTCCCATCCCTGAGTCCAGAGTCTTGGAAGTATCTGATGGGAGTGTTTTCTGTGTGCCAGAGTGTGGCTGGCTGCAAACAGCCTTGAGGTGAAGAGAAAAGAGAGGTTGAGTTAAAAGCAGCTCCTGTTTTTAGGAGTCCACAGGCCACTTGCTGTTAGTTTGATCAGTGACCCAGAGCTCACCAGAGCTGTAAACATCACATCTGCCCCAAAGTGTGTCCTGCCTGTCTCCTTGCAAATTGCTCTTGAAAATGTAATCTGTGTTGGACTGAGTAGAAAAATGCATTATTACTTCTCCAAATAAAAGGGGTGCAATTGCATGCAAAGCTTGCAGTTCTTTGGGTAGGTAATTTCCCTTCCATTCCAGGGATCGAAAAAACCCCAGACTGTGGCATTTTCAAGGCGGGGGGAAGAGTAGAGAATGGTGTTGGCTGGTCAGTGAGAGTGTTTTAGATCATCTGAGACATTTAACACCCAATTCTTGTGTAGTCCAGCAGTTCACAGGGGTGAGATAAGGGGTCTGAAATATCTAAATAGACACTGAAAGGCATGGGCAGGACTAAGGGCTGAAAGTTTTCCAGTGTGCTTGTAGAGCAGTGGGAAGAAAAGGGCTCCCAAAGAGTAAAAGATGCAGAAATACTCTGAAACAAGAAGCAGGTATGCCTGGATGCTCATGGGAGCACTGCTTTCAAGGGATGCATCAAACCCAAATCCAAGTGGGCATTAAAGAAAAACAATCCATGGCAATGAAATCTTGCCTCCCTCGTAGGCAGTCAGTTTTGTCTTGGACTTCAAGGGAGCCAGGAACTTGCCCCTAGAGGTTATTAAAATCCTTTGTAATAACAGCACTTCTCTAGAAACCCTTTACACCAGGCGCTGGGGTTGGGACAGCCAAGAAGCAGCCTGAATAGAAAAATATGCTGCAGATGGCAGAGAAAATACTCAGAAATATTAATTCCCCCTAACCCAATTGTTCCCCAAATGGGAATATTTAGGCAGAAAGCTGCAGCTGGGCAAATCCAGAGCTGGAGATCAGGTAGGATCTCTTTTTCAGGGTAAGAGGTTTCCCAAAGTGAAGCTGACTGCTCCAACCATTCCCAGTCCCTTCCCAAACCTCTTTGAGGGGGTGTTATGGGGGGATGAACAGTTACAGTTTGGGTATGCCAGTGTGCTGTGCAATGAGTTGTGAGACTCCAGAGATGCAATGTGGTGGGCAGGTTTTTCTGTTTATTTTACTGTTGTCTTTCTCATGGGATGGGAAACCACTGCAAAGACCACAAAAAGCAGCCTGGAGCAGTGTCTGAAGTGAATAACTGAAGGGAAACCCATTTACTGCTATTAATACTGCTGCTAAAATAAGCAAGCCATGCCCTGGAGACAGAGAGGACTTCTCTAAGGATTTAAGTCCTGCATCTGGTTTGTTTATCTGTTTGGCCTGAATAAGAAAAAAACCCAACAAAAATAAAAGGGATGTAGGGGTATCCTTGAGAGCTTTTTTGTCTCCTCCAGGCTGCTCCCTGGAGACAAAAATGGGATTTTATGTTTACAAAGTTGCAGCCTTTTCTGTGAGCTCCAGGTGCCAAGGACTTAGAAGAAGTGAGAGGCAGAGTTAATGAGGTGAGAAGAAAAGCAAAATGTAAAGAGCAAAACACATTTATTGTAACAGATCAGAGGGAAACATCTGCAGGGCAAGGGCACCTGCATTAAGTAGGGAAATGCAGTTTTTATTATTTGTCTTCTCTGCAGATAGAGATAGGGAAAAGAAATCTGGAGAGATGAATAGCTGTAGATTTGAGCTAATCTAAAGATCTATCTTTCTTTTTCCTTCTTCCTCCTAAGCAGTTGCACAAACTTTTTGGAGAGGGGAAGAAAAAAAAAACCACTGAAGTGAAGCAGCAAATGAAGTCTTGCCATGTGCAGGGTTAAATGGAAACACACAATCAGACCATAACTCTGTGTAATTCAACCCATACGGTTTGTCTGTCTCTTGACTCGAAAGGTTGTATCAAGGCTTGGCAAGGGAGAGGACTGAGAAGGGATAATCCAAACCTTTTCCTGATTCATAAGCCACTCCTTTGCAATTTGGATAATAGATTTCTCTCTTCCAGTGACTCGCTAAACTTCAGAGTTAACCGTAGCTCGGGCTTTTTCTCTTTCTCCTTTCAGGCTGATCATCTTCAAGAACGAGCAATACCCAAACTGAAGGAAAATACATTGCACAAAATATTAAGAAAACTCCTTTTAAAAAAAAAAAATTCTTTGGAGAAGCTGATTTCCTTTGGCTAGCAGGAGAAAGCGGAGAAAATGAGGCCAAGTCTGCGATTTTTCTTAGCTGGTTTTCTGTTGTTGGTTCTGCAGACAGGGCTTTGCTATGGGATAAAATGGATGTAAGTATCTGGCTCTATCTCTGCATTTTTAATGTTTTTGTAGAAATTGCTGGTCTCTTACCTGTTTGTACAACTGCTGCTTGAGGCATGCTGTAAACTGTTTAAAGAGCGGCAAGCACTGCAATTCTCCAGGCACTGATTGATTTCAAGTGTGTGTACTGGGGGCTTATGCTAACAATGTCTCCATCTTCTTTCTAAAATATGCATGATTTAGGCTCATTTGGGTTTTTTTCTCCTCATTGATACCAAGGGAAAGGCACACACTTGAATGCTCACATGAACCACTTAATGAAGCTTCTAGCATTAGCTCCTGCTAATGGGGAAACTCTCCCACCAGGACCACTGGTTGTGCTGAGTAGGAGCTGAGAGCAGTAGGGATGGCAGCTGAGATAATGCTGCCCATCTCCAACCACAAGGGATGCTTGACAGATAACATGGTGTTTTTCTGGACCTTTTAACCTTTGGATTTTGTGAAGGGTGTTAAAAATGAGGTGAGGAGGGGGGAGGAGGGTGAAGAAATACCAGGGACTGCGGTCAAGTCAGGATTGAGTTTCCTTGGAGGCAATGTACTGCAAAGTGAAAACATCACCATCTCATTTCTTTGCTTAAACAAGCAATCAGTTAGTTGCTTGCTGCAAAATAAACAAACAGGCCACTCCAAAGCCAGTCTGGTTTCACAACCTTGATAAGTGATCTGTCTGTTCTACTTGGGTTTGGAGCTGGGCACAAAATAAGTAAGGGAATATGGGTTTGCCTCAAACATCTTTGGTAGGAAAAAAGGCACAATAATATACAATGTCAGGAAGACTCTGTAGTGCGTTGAAGCAAGAATCTTTGGGGTAGGTGGTGAAACTTGGACAAGAGGTTCCTGTTTTGCTGCTCCTCCTGCCACAGACTTCATGCTATGTCTAATTGCCATTCTGCTGTTCCAGTCATTGTCACGTGAAGCTCTACTCATGCCACCTTTTTATAAAGGCTTAAATTTGGATATCTGAAAATTAAGGTATCCCACTGGAGCCAGTGTTTTTATTCCCCATCATGCAGTTAGGGAAGAGAGGATCTTCCAGATGGCGATTCATCTTCTCCAAACAGAGACATCCAACAGAAATGTGATAGCCTCTGCTGATGCTGTGTACTGCAGGGAGATGCTAGAAACCACACATCTGCCTTTTATATCCATAAAGAGAAACATATTGAATCTCTCCATAGGTGTTTAAATGCATATGGTCAGGTGGGAGGAATAGTCACCTGCTCTAGGGCATCTTTCAAGGTGGCATGCTTGCCTATGGCAGGAAGATAGGAACTAGATGATTTTTAAAGTTCCTTCCAACCCAAACCATTCCATAATCTTTCATCTGCTGTCTCCATACTCTAAGGACCATCTTGGAAGTAGAGAAGAGTAAGGATCTGGTTTGCCCTTCACTGCCTTCGATTTACACCTTGTAGTAGTCAGTAAGAGCTCAATTACATAACCCAGCTGTTTCTTTCTGCCAACTTCCTCCACTATTTGGGCTCTCAGCTCTGCCTATATCCAGCACCAGGAAAGGCAGGCATCTCCTTTCTGAAGGACATTTAGCAACATGTCCATGGGACTCCTTTGCAATGTTTATTTCTATGCAGCACAGAAACAAAGCTGTTTTGTGGCACCCTGATTCAGCAGGGCTTTTATGTGTAGAACCATGACTGACTGGAGGGACTTGTCCATATGCTTGGCATTGGTGTCCCACTTAGTCAAGATACTTAATCATGAGTGAAGGGCTTGGGTTCCTTTGAAGGGCAGGGGTGGGATGAGCTCTAGAAGGAACCTGATAGTATGGTGACAAGCCATAGACATGAAAAATGCTGGGAGGCAGGGAAAGGTCCCTAATAGCTTTGCTGTCAAAAGCAGCCTTTTGGCTGCTAAGTGGTTAAGCTGCAAGGGTTGCTTCTGGGGATGAGTGGGGGGAGAAGCAGTTGGAGGCAAGACACCACAGTTGCTGCTTCTCTACTTCCCAGCAGACATATCCCCACTTTTTTGATAAAAAGTGAGTGGGAAAGATGAAAGCTGGGATTAAAGTGGTATTTGAAGCATGAATGGCGTGCAGATGCACTACTGAGCTCCCCTCACCTGTTTAAAACCTGGCAGTGATCTGCTCCCTCTATCCACAGCACTTTGCAACTGGGATGCTGGCAGCTGGAAAATCACAACATTATGTTTGATTTTTCTTTTGTTTGCTGTTTCTCCTCATTTCCCCACCCTTATTTTTCTATGGAAACACAGGCTAATTTTTCTCACTCCCCATCACTCTTTTTTTCTTGGGGCTCAGGGATTGCCCTGAGAAATTGCATGGATAAGTTCTTGGCAAACAGAGTACCAAACACTGAGTAATACCTCAGACCTGCTTATCCCAGCTCTGGGTGATGTACAATTGAAATCTGCTCCTTCCTTCTCTTGCTCATGAACAGAGAGGTGGAGAAAAAGAACGGGATGAAGAAGGAGGAAAGTCCTATGTGATGTTTTCAGTTGTGGCGTTTTCTCACTGGTCCGCCTGCTGCATCATTTTTGTACACATGGTGCCAGAGGCGAGCTTCAAAGAGGATATGGGAGGGGAAGGGAGAGATAAGGAGCTGGGTTTCACCAGCCTAGAGATGAGGGAGTGACTGATAAGAAAGGTGATAGGAAATTTAATTTTTATTCAGTGTGTGATGTAATTGCAGGGGGAGGGGCAGAAGAAAAGCACAGTTTTCAGCCATTTAGGATTTCTCAGTAACACAAATATGCCCTGAAAATTAGTAAAAGCAGAGAGAAGGTAAAAAAAGAAATTATTTATTTTATTTTATTTTGCTTGGCTTATTTTTGTGAGTTCTGTTGGAAGTTGGTGCTGGGCCCCACCAAACATCCAGCATGGTGTGCGGACAGTCAGCATCTTGTACACATGCTCTTGCTCTTGTATATATTTCTCTTGCTGGAGAAATTTCATATCTTGTGCTCTTTCATCTAAGCTCCAGAGAGCTACTCAGGTGTAAAGCCAGAGTATGGCTCCAGAGTATGGTTCCAGATCTTTGCTGGATCAGGACTGTTGTGGAGATACAGCCTTTCTGATCAATGTATATGAGACCCTGCATCTTATTTTTGCAAACATTTTCTCATCCTTAGAGCAAAGAAGGTATGTGGGGAGGTTACATCATTTTGTGGTGCCCAGCGTCGTTTTGTCACAGTGTCTGGGAAGGTGAGGCAGCCATTGGTTTCCATGAGATATGTCTTAGGGCCAATGCATCTAGTAATTCTATCACCTTCCCCATCTGCTTTTGCAATCCATTTAGCTTTCCCAGGAGAGTTTGGCTTTGACCAAGCAGGTGCTGGAGCAACTTATTTGGGTAGAACTGAAAAACAGATGAGCATTAGAGGGAGCTGCAGCCAGATGTGCATGCCCCAAAGGTGTGTGGTGTTGGGATGTCCAGGCACAGAGTAGCTTGTGAGGCACTTCTGCCTTGACAGACGGATTGGCATCTCCTCTGTCCCTGTGTATCGAATGTCCCCTTCAATGTGATTGTAAATACGCCAAACACAGCAAGTGATTTGTGCTGGTTTGCTTTGGTTTTGTTTTGGAGGGGGGTTTTGTGTCTTCTTTTTTTTTTTGTTGTTATTGTTGTTTTTTGGATTTTTTGTTTGTTTTGGTTGGTTGGTTTTGTTTGTTTGGTTGGTTGGGGTTTTTTGTTGGTGGTTTTTTTTTTTCATGGCTTGCAGAATTTGCCCAGGACGACAAGTGCTGGCTTTAGGAATACCATCATTTTTAGGTGGAGCTTGGTCACTTCAGGAAGTCTCTGCCTGTCCCCATTGTGGTGACCCAATTATGTCTCATGTGCTCTGGAGCAATCCCCAGCTGAGCTCCATTCCCAGCTATTGCTGCACAATTCCTATGGTTAAATTGCAGCCCTTCAGAAGCAAAAGGTAGCTCAGTCACACCTTTTGGTGATCATAGGATGTCCCCCAGCCCACAAACCTTGAGCAGCCCTTCTGCAGCCAGCAAAAAGCAGGGGAGAAAATGGAAAGATTTTGTGCTTCCTGGCAGCTCCTGCTTCTCTCCTCCAATAAGTGTGGGAGGGAGCTGGGATGTGGAGACACGGGCGCCTGTGAGGAGACTGTCTGCCTGGCAAGGGACTGCTAGATGAGCTGCTGTGAAAGAACTGCAGGATGGGGATGGCAGGAGGGGAGTAGGCTGGGGGTGAGGAAAGGGGAGTACCATGCCTTTGAAGTTTGCTCTTTGCTCCATAGGCAGCTCAGGAAAAGTTGACAAAGCTCCATGGCCTTCCTTGGCACTCAGTGAGCCAACGCACTGCTGGGATTGACTTCATTCAAGCTTGGGCATGAAGTCAACAGCCTTGTGCCCACTGCTGCCAGCACTGAATTTGGCACCATATCTGAAAACAGCTCTTATTTTAAGCTTTTAGTTCAGAGTTGGTTCCCCCCACACACACTTCTCTCCCTCTTCCTCTTCTTTCTTTCTTTTTTTTCTTTAAATCACATAAATCCTACTTGTCTGTTTGAAAAACCCTTGCAGAACCAGGGGAAGCATTTACCAGGGGATGTGATGTCTTTCCCAGGACTTGTGGTCCTCAGATTGGAACTGATGCAGGGCAGGGTGGCAGGGCCATGGACTGTCTTTGACTACCAGGAGTTTAGGCAACATTATTGTAACACCCCTGCAAGCCTTTTCCAGATGAAAACCTGAGAAAATGAGGCTTCTGAAGATTAAAAACCTTAAATGAGATCAAATACAAAAAGAACCCTCAATCTCTGCCTCTCTTTTTTAACTTTTACCACATACTTCACTCTCCACAGCCATGTAATTTTGTCTAAATCTTTTTGTGTCATCCACATCCCTGCAAGATTAAGGAGTTCAGGAATGGGCATTAAAAAATGCCTTTTCAGAAAGCAAAGCTGGTAATTTGGAGTTGAAGTCCCTTTGTGAGACTTTCGCAGATAATGTCATACAAGGGAGGGTGGGGAGATGCCTTCAGAGAGATTCTTCCACCCTTCAAAGGTGTTTTAAAGGACACCAACGTTTTGCTGCTCAGTTGAAGGAGTTTTTCTCCCTTTGGCTTGACCAGTAGTGTCCTACTCACAGGGTACCTTGTAAACCAAATAATATATGACTTTCATTGATATCTGCTAGCATCTGAAGGTGCTTCTTCCTAACCTGCACTTTCTATGAATAGTCTTCTCAGGGGGCCCAGACATGCAGGAATGGGCCCATACCTCTCAAAGGACCTAACACTGCAGAGCACTAATGTTTTCCAATGTCATGATCCATCTATGCATATTTCCTCTGTAATTATGTTCATGGTTTTCTGTCAGTATCCAGAACTTCAATTGAAGGACCTGCTGTGTTACATATAGATCAGAAGATGTTTGGTTTAGGCCCTGTTTATTTAAAGGGATGGATCAAATATGTATCTTTTTAAAAAACATGAAACAACCACCCCTTGGTTTTCTGGAGAATGAAGGATGGGGCAGGAGAATTAAGTGAGAATGTTATCAGGAGGAGACAGTGAATAGAAAGATGTTTGTCAGGGATTTTTTCCCCAGGTTGAGGCATGAAGGATGTTCTTCTAATTATGCCCTTGAGGGCTGGATTTTAAGGCTGGCTGTGCCCCATTGGCTCCAGTTTCCCTTCCAGTGCTGATGATCAGTAGAGGCTGCGTGAAGACAGGCCAGAGACCCACCACCAAATCCTACCATGGACAAGCCTCTCCTGGGGGAGGTTTTTCTTTCCACAAATGGATATTGTTTCTCAATAATGTCCTTGCAGGCAGTGGGTATCCATCCCCTGATGCTGCCAGAATTTAGAAAGCAGAGAGGGGTGGTGCATTTCCACAGGGAGGGTTTAGAGTGACATGGAGTGAAGAAGATATTCCTAAATGTAGGACAGAGACTGGGCAAACCTAGGTTGTCAGGGCATGGAATAGATGACCTAACAGGCTTCTCAAATTCCTGATCTGTGATTTATAAATGCACTTTTCAGTCTCAGCAAGTGACTACAGTAACTGAGTTTTCTTTTCCGTCTCCATTACCTTTTAATTTTTCCTCCCGATACTTGAAGATGTTTCCAATTATAGGTTCTCATAAGCAAAGACATGAAGTTTAGGCCTGGAAGATGCTCAGAAAACACCTTCCTGCATCTTGCACTTTTATTCTTGTAGGCTTCCTGGAGCTCAGCTCATTCTATGAGAAACAGCCATTGCTGCCATTTACTGAGTTCTCACCAATCAGAAGGTATTTTCCCTCTTCCATGAAGTAAATGGTTTTCTTGTTACACTATAAAACTGCTTCTCTTAGGGTGATCACTTCAAGCCATCTGTAATAAAACAGTCTCCTTGCATCACATCCTGTTTTTTCACACTGAGGATGAGTTTCAGTCTGAATTCTGCTTTCATCCCTACCTGTAGATGTGCTATTCATGACTTGTCTGTAACAGTGAGATAGGGGTACCTCCATGTAGCCTTCCAGGTCCTTTAAAGAGGCTGAAGACTTCTAGAAAGGATCAGAAAATGTAGTGTAGGACCTAGGAGATATATGCATCCTTCTGGAGGAACAGCCAACATTCCAAGGCCTCTCAAATGCCACCCTGATTAGAAAACTGAGCTGCTGCCTCGTAGTACAGCCTCTCTCAGACACTTGGAATGTTCCTCATTTGCCTGAAGCTCAGGTGTGAAGTTCTCTCACTGCTCCTGCCGCACCCTGCCTGTTTCACTTCCTGCTGGGACCTACTGTGCTGGAGTTTTTATCATTTATACTCGAATACTGATGAGCTGCTTTGGCCTCTTGCCTGATTTGTGTTTTAGCTCATTCCTGGAAGCTGCTGATAGGCTTTCTGGGATAACTTTTCACAGATTCCTGGTGTCAAGTGCTCATATCTCATTCAAACTCTGTGCTTATACCATTCAGATGTCTGTGTCCCTGCTCAGTATCTGGGTTTCCTATATAGAGCAGAAAATGAGCACCAATAAGTCATGATGGTATCTTACTATAGGTCTCAAAAGCACAAAAGGCTAACTGCTTCCTAGATGTGGGTTTTTGCTTTCCATGAGCTCAAGAAGGATCCTGAAGGACTACTGTGAGGTCCACAGTATAGAGGTTTGCAGTCAGGGGACAGTCATACTATTCAGAGACTCATGTAATTACCTTCAAGGACATGATCTCTCTGAGATACCTGAACACCCAGTATATCCCCAATAAATTTTTTCTCCACCAGCTCAGGTTCACATCTGAGGCAGGATGAGTTGCCTTCTGGAGGGACCCCTCTCCGAACAAGGAACATTGTATGAACACCAGTGTGGATGGGAATGAGATTAACTGCAGGACAGAATTTCTGATTATTAAATCATAGAATTATTTTGGTTGGAAAAGACCTCTGTGATCACTGAGTCCAACCAATAACTTAACACTGCCAAGTCCACCACTTTTTCCTTTCTCTTGAAATTCACTAGCAATGACTTCTGCTTGCAGTGTGTTTAATGGACCTGTTAAATATGTGTATGAAGTATATATTTATATAGCTTTCAGAACGGCGGTTTCCCTTCCAAGTTTGCCACTGTTTATCTAGTGCCAGAAATGCCAAACTCCCAGTCACCTGGGAATTTCTCAGTGTAGGCCTATTCATCCCCAGCAAGGATTTAATACCTCCAGTTTTCATTAGGGTTCAATTTTAGCTCTGTTTCCATCTCGTTTAACTTCTGAAGAATGTGGATGTTCAGTAATAAAGTGAAATGCACCCCACAATGTGTTTGCAAGTAAGCCTAACTAACCAAGATGGCTTGGGATGAATCTGAAAGCCAATACATTTAACAAGCACAGAAGGAAATATGTGTTAAAGTTGTTTTGCCATGATCAGATGCCATCAGATTATTGATTCAGCCTGCTAGAAAGTTGTTTTATGGGAATGAATAACTTTTATGACTACCCTAAGAAAGCCAAAAAGATACAAAGAGAGTTACACACTTGGCTTCTGCTGATCATTGTGGGTGCTCAGGGAAGAAGAGTACAGCCCTGTAAGATGCATGTCAGCATTTGTTCTTTTTTAACCTGGAAAAGTTGGCAATTGAACAGTAGAAGAACCACCACTGTGGGATGTTGTTCTTCTCTTCCTTGGTAACATATCTGCTGGTATTCATGGATCCTTTCTCAGATTTGACTGTGGTACTCTCTCTGCACATACTCCCACTGAGCTTTTGCACTATGGTTTTTGGAGACTAGACAAACAGACTTATCTATCTGCAACAGTGATTAAATCAGTAGAGGCCCTTGGCATTAACTCTAAGTGAAAGCATATGTTTTGCAAATTTGATGATTTTTCCCTAGGCTTTACAGGGGATTTTCTCCATAATTAATTACATGACATTTATCATAATCCTTTGAGAGTGTGTGAGACAGATGCTGAATACAAATTACTGATAACACCAATGTTGCTTTCTTTCCCAAATGCCACAGTCTTGGAGGATCCAGATTTCTTTTATCATGGAACTGATGGGTCATTTTTTACTCTGTTGGGAGGTCTGTGCTCTTCATTCTTCAGCAAACAACCTTCCCCATAGGATTTACACATCCGGTTACTTGCCATATACCCCTGGAGCTTTGTGCAGCCTTCCGTGCATAATGGAGAGAATTGCACACTGCTAAAGGGCGTTTCTTCCCACCAACTTCAAACACCTGCTTTATATGAGATAAATCACTCTTCATAGTTGCTCATCTTTCTCACCAGCTTTATCTAAGCACCTATTTACAGAAAGCTTTAATTAAGTCAGGTGAATGTAGACAACTAGATTGTGTTTTAATGTTTTTTTGCATGTCCTTTTCTCCTCAGAGCTCTGTCCAAGACTTCTTTTGCTTTGGCCCTGAATCAAACCCAGCACTGCAAGCAGCTTGAAGGCCTGGTGGTTTCTCAGGTGCAGCTGTGCCGCAGCAACCTGGAGCTAATGCAGACCATTATTCAGGCAGCACGGGAAGTGATAAAGACCTGCCGTAAAACTTTTTCAGACATGCGGTGGAACTGCTCTTCAATAGAGCTGGCTCCTAACTACCTGCTGGACTTAGACAGAGGTAAAACAGCACTGCTGGCTCAGCTGGGACTGGAGTCAGTAGAGTCAGCCTGTGTGTGTGTGTGTGTGTGTGTGTGTGTGTGTGTGTGTGTGTGTGCTGGAGATAGGAAGGGTCTTGCTCCTGAGAGACCATGGAGGGACTACAAAGCCCACTTGTCCTGCTCTCTGAGACCACATTCATCATTATGGTGCCAGTCATGCCCAGAGGCTCTTGGATCCAAGACCTTGTCTACCATAACTCTTACAAAGCAGACCACCATTCTGGTCTGCTCATCCCACTGGAAGTCATGCTCCACCACATGCTCCAAGAGCAAATCACACCACAATGAACAAGATGCCTAAATCCATATGACTCCTTGCCCTGCTGGGTGGGATATTGTCTTACATTGAAGAGTTCACTTAGATGTGCTCCAAATTTGTGGTGCCATAGGACATCTTAGCTGCAGTGAGTTGGTGTGTTGGCTGCTCTGTGGGACACAGACTGTGTGAATCTCTTTTTGGTGAACGTTTATCTGGCCCAGGAAGCTGAGCTGGAATTCTTGTCTCTTTCAGGCACAAGGGAGTCAGCATTTGTATATGCCCTCTCTGCTGCTGCCATCAGCCACACCATTGCCAGAGCCTGCACCACCGGGGACCTCCCTGGCTGTTCCTGTGGTCCCATCCCAGGTGAGACACCTGGACCTGGGTATCGATGGGGAGGATGTGCAGACAACCTCAACTATGGTCTTATCATGGGGTCCAAATTTTCAGATGCTCCCATGAAGATGAAAAAATCAGGATCACAAGCCAATAAACTGATGCATCTGCACAACAGTGAAGTAGGGAGACAGGTAACAAATCCACAAGAGTTATTGTACTTGTACAATCATCTGTAGTGTTGGTCACTTGGTGAGGTTCAGTGTCTCTATCAGCTAGAGAAAGGAGCAGGTTTCTCAAAGATTGCTCTGAAGTCCTTTGGCCTGCTGAAAATTGTAGCTGTATAACTCACCCTGTGACTCAGGGAGTCCCAAATGCCATTATTAGCCCTGTTTAACCGTGGGTGGGATGTCTCATTGCCACCTGTTGCACAGTCAGTGTTGGCTCTGGCTCTGCCTGCCCCAGGAGGTGTGGTGGGGATGGGTCCCATCGTGCTCTGCCAAGGGCATTGTGGGGTGAAGTGCTGTGTGAATGTGGAGGATTATCATCTGCCACATGCATCCAGCAGCAGTTGCCTCCAGCCATCACCTGCAGGCAGGAGGGAGGATTTTTTTCCTTTTTAAACTGCTATGCTAGTGATTATTCTCATGTCTGGCACAAGCTGCTTTTAACAGCTTGCATCCAGTGGAGAGATAATATTTACCATGTGCAGTGCCTGGTGTGCACTGAGGTGCAAATCCCTATAGCAGCTGTCCATACAGCTGAAGAAATGGGGTGGGCTATAAAACTGACCCCTGCACCCATCTCTGAGGCTCCAGTGGTTCCATGGACTGCTCCTACTGCACAGCTTGGTCTTTCCAGGGCTGCCTGTGCAGATAAACTTGGAGCATGCTGAGCTCATTGGGAGCTTGCTGTGTAGCTACAGGCTGAGTCTACCTTTGCAGAGCACAACCATGCTGAAGTTTCCCTCTCTGGCTCTTTTTTTTTTCCCTAGTATTTCCACACTATTTGGTTTGTTTTCTTTGGTTTGAGGGTTTTTTTAAAATTTATTTTAGTTTTGCAATGTCTTGATTTTTTGTTTCAATTGCAAAGGGCAAATTTTTGTTTGGGACATTGCGTTGCCATGGCTGGTGCATTCAGCACTTCCTGGCAGCATCCTGCCATGTCCCACTGAAATGAGAATAGTGCAGAATCAAAGTAAAAGGCTATTTTGGCCCTATGACCAGCAGAAAGGCAGGGTGAGAGTGCACTGAATTCAACAAAGTCATGACATCTCTCTTACCAAAGCCCAAAGCTGCTGGAGGTTGAAATTTATCTTAATTATCTATTTATGGAATGCTTTTATATTCATCTCCTTAGGAATTTAGAGGGTGGAAATGCAGCCCAATACAGATATCTAATCAAAATTCAAAATACTCTTCTGTCTTCTGGCTGCAAAGGAGTCCTTGTGAAAGTAGTCCTGGACAGATAGTGATCACCAAAGAGCTGTAGGATCTCATTTGCTTTCAAAGCAGCTACTCTAGACTGCCTGTGTAGAATTGAGAACAGTAGTACTTTTCTATAGCAGTTCCTGCTAAGGAAGTTCCTTCACTAGCAAGCTTGTGGGATGTTTGGCTGTAAGAGAAGGGCATTTCCTAACTCCTGCATTCCTTTTTGCAGGTCTTGAAAGCCTCTCTTGAAATGAAATGTAAGTGCCATGGAGTTTCTGGGTCATGCTCTATCAAGACCTGTTGGAAAGGCCTTCAAGAACTGCGAGACATTGCATTGGACCTCAAAACCAAATATTTGTCTGCCACCAAGGTTGTTCACCGGCCCATGGGCACACGCAAATACCTTGTGCCAAAGGATATTGATATCAGGCCAGTTAAAGAGACAGAGCTGATTTACCTGCAGAGCTCACCTGATTTCTGCATGAAGAATGAAAAAGTGGGGTCACATGGGACCCAGGACAGGTGAGGACTGTACTCACTGTACTCTGACCCCAAAGAGGAAAGGGCAAGAGGGGAACATGTATGAATAAGGGACAATCAAGGAGGTGACATATACATGCACCTCTCTAACATACAGTATGGTTTACCATACTGTATGTTAAAAGCATACAGTAAAGGACATCTCTAACATATAGTATGGTTTACCAATTCCTAGCCCTATTAATGATGGGCTTGCTGACACATTTTTGATTACACAATCAGGCACAAGATACATTTCAAAATTCCCTGTGCAGCTTACCTCCATGGGAACTTGTAAGAACCAAGCAGCTGCTTTATACTCTGTTGAGTCTCAGTAATTTCTTGCAGTCACTGCTGATTAGAAGAGTTGTTACTCTAAGGCTCCCTTAATTATGCAAACGTTAACCCAGTTAGAACTAGCATTCCTAGATTGTCTTTAAAAAAAAACACCCCAAAACTGCAAAGATGATATAAGTTTTTTTCTTCTACTGCATCCAGGTGTGTTTGTATTGCTTATGACTCTGCAGAGGAATTTCTTTATTGCATTAATATTGGGGATTTAAGGTCATTATGGTCAAGTGCAGCCTCCACTGGGCAGCATACTATCCCCTTTCACAGGTAGCACACATGCCTTTCTCTTCCCACCATCTGTTTCATTTCCTCCAAGACAAACTAATTCAACATTTCAACAATCTGAGCATCTCTAGGTGGGCAGACCCATCTGATCTCTCTAGAGCTGAACCATCAACAGCCAAAAAAGTGTGTGTTTCCATAATTTTCCTAATTTTTATTAGGTGGCTGCAATGGCTGGATTTCAGCCTCTCTTTCTGGTTTTCCTTTCTTTAGATAGCTCTCATAATCCTTCTTTGTGCTTTCTGTTATTTCATGGTGGAGACTCAGGCAAGTGGCAAGGAGTATGTGCCTGGCCTATTTTGGGATGCCTTCCTTTTAATGTAGTGGACATACTTGTATTTGGACCATTATGGTTCAATGGAAAGAAGATTTTGCTGAAATGAAATGACCCAAATGCAGACAAGATAAACTGTATATGCATGTGGGATTGTAGCAGCTGGGGACACGGGTCAGTGGTGGGCTTGGCAGTGCTGTGGACTTGATGATTTTAGAGGGCTTTTACAGCCTACATGAGTCTGTGATTCTGCATCAGCATGTACCTGGAACTGATCAGTAGAGAAGACAGCTGAATGAGACAAGACTGTCTTTTTTGTCCCCTGAGCTTTATGACAGTTAATGTCCTGTATCCTCTTGACATCGATGCCTGGACCTGGACTGCCCTACAACGTCACGTATCTGACAGCTCTGTGGTGGGAACACCAGGCTGATCTTTGTCACCAATTCAGTGGTGGAGCATTAATTATCAAGTGAAGATGTCTATAAGTCACTGAGAATAGCTAGGAAAAAGCATGTATTGAAACAGGTTTCCGAAAGAAAATGTCACCTTAGTGGAAGTGAAGTTTTTGTGGATTTGCATGGATTTTGATATATTTGTGCCTTGAAAATGACCTCTTTGTTCTGCCTTTCTGTTTTGCAAGGAAAAAAATTGGTGATGATTATTTGGAAATTAGTTTTATAGGAATTGCATTAAATGAACAGGTTGTGTCAAAACAAATTGACCTGTTAATTAAATTCATTACAGATTTAATTAAAAACCTGTTAATTGAATTCATTACAGATTTTCCAAGTAAAACATTTTCCATGAGCTGAAATCCTTTCAAAGGACAGGGAGGTGTGACTTCTTCATCTAATCTTATTTTACAGCAGATTTCAACTTTTTATCCCATCTAGGGATGAAAAATATGTCAAGGTCCTGAATGATTTTTTTTTTCCTTCTGAGGAAAGGAAAATATGTCTTGCAGGCGTCTGTTTATTCCGAGCTGGATGACAGCCATGGTTGTGAACCTGGCAGCCAAGGGTCCACAGGAAGTGAGATTGAGTGAGGATTTAGAAGACCAAGATATTAAGGCAGAGGGGGATGACTTTCAAAAGGAACTTGTCAAAAAATACTCCTCATTCTCAGATGTGCAAGATGGTGATGGCCATGGGAGGGAAGGAGGGTGAGATAGTCCTGTGCTGAGCTTCAGGCATCACTCAGGCCAAGTTTTAAGGTCATGTGTGATTGGGCTTGTTTTCATTACAGTCCATCTGCAGCCTCTTGAGAAGGTGTTTCAAAATTGGCATGTGTTATACAAGCCATAGCAACTCCTTTCCTGAACTAAATTACTAGAGGAAATAAATGTAAAATACAAACAGTGTGTTTGAAGATTGGTCCATGCTTTGTGGGGGGAGCAAGGAAAGGGAGATCTTCCCTAGTCTCCTCCTCCTATGGATGCCTTTTTCTCTTTGCAATTTTTCTGTCATGAAGAGGGCACCTAAATGCATTTTAAATGTGGTGCCTCTACTCCAGCCTGCCACAGGGCTGCAGAGATAATGTCTAATTACAGGGATAAGGTAGAAGGAGCACAAAAGGAATTCTGTTAGAGAGAGGGCATGGCAAAATGTGGTTTATGCTGCAGAATGATGTAAAAATACTCACATGGTAATAGCTCAAGCATGTTTTTATTTAATGAGTCATGTCCTGGAGGCATTTGAACATTTTATCTTTATGTACATAAAAATTTTCTGAAGGTAGGTCCCACTGTTTCCAAGTAGTCTAGTTTTTAAGGCCAGTCATGCCAATGAAGTAAAAAAGGTGTTTGGTTTGGTGTTTTTTTTTTGTTGTGGTCCCTCATTTGGTCTACTCTGTCTTCAGCCACCTTCCGTATCCCTTCTGGCCTTTTTCTGGGTACAGAGGTCAGTCCATGCCTGGGCTGTGTAGTGCAGTCCTCTATGTCCACAGCTCAGGAGACTTTGATCTGGCCATCTTCGGTATTTTCCAGCCCTGCTTTCTGCCTCCAAAGGGATTTGGAGGGGGGACTATGCCACTAACACCCCCTTTTCCTGTCCCTTGATTAAAATATTCATATTGGTGCATTTTTGTGTCAAAAAATAAGCAGTTTTGCAGCATATCCAGGGGAAGTCCTTTTCCTCCTCCCTCCCCCAAGGTCTGGTTCTTGCTCATAGCATGCTGGAAACAGAACGGAGGTTGATGGTTGCAACACATTGGATGTGTTGGAATTCTCTGTATGCTGTAGGAAACAATCCTGCACTGCCAGGTGGGTGGAAAGGATAATCTAATTGGGGATCCCTCTAATGTGAGGGATCATGTTATGTAGACTTACTGTGTGTTTTTCAGGCAGGCAAAGGAATTACTTTGTAGATGAACTATATGAAAATCCACTCAGAAAATGAGCCCCTGATTACTCAAAAGCTTAGAGCTCTTTCCTGAAAGGATTTCAAAGCCTTCTTCACAACAAGCCTGAAACATTTTCTAAGACACTTTGGACATTCTTAGCTTGTTGCAATTCAGAAATAGTTTGGAAATCTGCATGCCTCCAAGTGCTCAGGGTATGTCCAGATTTCAAAGTCACGGAACTAAACTCAAACCTGAGGTTTGAGGCCTCTTTGAAGTGCTGAAAAGCTGATTGAGGAGCTGATTTTTGCAACCAGTATCCAAGTCTCCCGCAAACAAGACTTACTGCCACACTGACTCCAGCCAAACTCTGTTTATATACCACCATCAGGCTTTCATAACCAATTAAAAATGGTCTGGAGAAAAGTCTAAAGAAGCTGCAAGTAAAACTTTCAATACAACAAATCAACCACTGGGAAAGAAATGTAAATATTCCCCTTCTCAGAGATTTCTTGGACAAAAGCACTTTTTCATCTTTTAATGAAGTAGTTCAGTTGCTCCTGCCTGAAAAAATCACTACCAGCTTTGAGTAAATGAAAAATAATGTCAGATTATAAAATTGAATTCTCTTTTGTGAGAAAAGAAGCAAAAATATGAATCTTCTTTTTAAGCAGGGTGCAATGTATCATGTTTCACAGGCTATTTAAGTCTCCTTAATGAATCCAAGGAAAGAGAAATTCTGCCATGCATGCAAAAGCATCCAGCCCCTGAAACCTTGCAGAGATAACAGAGCTGTTTATTACTGATTTTTCCCAGAGCAGTCTTGGAATCAAGCCAAATGTGGGAAGGCGTGCTCTTAGGCTGCAGAAATCAGGCTGCAACAAACTATGTGCTGCAGCCTAGCTGGGTTGATCAGTCACCACTCCTCAGCTGGGTCACTGTGTCAAGAAATGTGGCCACTCTCTGATGGCTGCTCCTTTCCCACATATCCTTTCTTTACTCCAATATTAAATATTAGTCACAAATGTCTTAGGCTGGTATGCTTTCTTGGATATGAACATACATGAAGTTGGCTGAGCATGCATCTGCTGCTCAGTTTTCAGTGTTTAGTGGCAGCCCTCGATACCACTTCTTTCCTGCTACCTCAAAAATATGCTTTGTATTGTGTATGGGGATTGTTCAGCCTGTGGAAGAGAAGGCTCTGGGGAGACCTGAAAGCCCCTTCCAGTGCCTTTAGGGGCTCCAAGAGAACTGGAGAGGGACTTTGGACAAATACCTGGACTGACAGGACAAGGGAGAATGTCTTCCCACTGCTAGAGAACAGAGTTAGGTGGGATATTGGGAAGAAATTCTTCCCTGTGAGGCTGTTCACTGGAACCAATTGTTTAGAGAAGTTGTGGCTGCCCCATCCCTGCATGTGTTCCAGGCCATACTGGGTGGGGCTTGGGACAACCAGTGGAAAGTGTCCCTACTCATGGCATGTGGGTTGGAACAGGCTGATCTTGAACTACATTGTCACCCTGTACCAAGCACAGGTGAGGCTGCACCTTGAGTACATTGTTAGTGTTATTGTCCTTACTCCAAGGCAGACTTTGAGGTGCTGGAATATGTCCAGAGAAGGGCTGTTTGAGGGGTCTGGAATGTAAGTCATACAAGGAGTGACTGAGAGTACTGACATTGTTGAGTCTGGAGAAGAGGAGGCTCAGGGGAGACATTATCACACTCTACAAATCCCTGAAAGGAGATTGTAATCAGG